TGTCACACTGTAAACTCTTGTCAAACTGTAACCTACAACTGTCACCCAACCAAAATCTCTCTCTCTCTCTCTCTCTCTCTCTCTCTCTCTCTCTCTCTCTCTCTCTCTCTCTCTCTCTCTCTCTCTCTCTCTCTCTCTCTCTCACTGTTTTAAAAGCAAAACATATTTATCCAACTCCATTTCAAAACAGTCTGTGGGTCCCATCTTTTGGACATTCATCGCATTGGTTTTCATTTCTCGGAGCGCTAATCTTAAACATTCTACATTGATTAAAAAAGAAAATCGAATGCGTTATTAATGGTAGTATTATTTTATACAGAAATCAATTATTTATAATTCAGATGAGAATAATGTTACATTGTTAATTAATAATGTTAATTAAAATTAAGGAAAACAAATATATTGATCTGAAATATAGCAAATTAATTTTAAATTAATTCAGGTACAATTACCAAACACATCGCAAGGTCTTTTTGTCTTTTTATTAATTTAATTAATAAACTAATTATATAAAACTATTGTCAGTGCACTACAAATAAACTGGTTCTATGCCTTTATTAATAAAACTTATTTAAAAAATACAATGCCTTCTGCATTTTTGTTTTGCTTTTCCCTCCATTGTTCCGAAATCGTACCGAACCGTGATGTCTGAACCGAGGTATGAACCGAACCGTGACTTCTGTGTACCGTTCCACCCCTAATATATATATATATATATACACACTCACCTAAAGGAGGAACACCCGTTCAATTTCTCATCAATGCAATTATCTAATCAACCAATCACATGGCAGTTGCTTCAATGCATTTAGGGGTGTGGTCCTGGTCAAGACAATCTCCTGAACTCCAAACTGAATGTCAGAATGGGAAAGAAAGGGGATTTAAGCAATTTTGAGCGTGGCATGGTTGTTGGTGCCAGACGGGCCGGTCTGAGTATTTCACAATCTGCTCAGTTACTGGGATTTTCACGCACAACCATTTCTAGGGTTTACAAAGAATGGTGTGAAAAGGGAAAAACATCCAGTATGCGGCAGTCCTGTGGGCGAAAATGCCTTGTTGATGCTAGAGGTCAGAGGAGAATGGGCCGACTGATTCAAGCTGATAGAAGAGCAACTTTGACTGAAATAACCACTCGTTACAACCGAGGTATGCAGCAAAGCATTTGTGAAGCCACAACACGCACAACCTTGAGGCGGATGGGCTACAACAGCAGAAGACCCCACCAGGTACCACTCATCTCCACTACAAATAGGAAAAAGAGGCTACAATTTGCAAGAGCTCACCAAAATTGGATAGTTGAAGACTGGAAAAATGTTGCCTGGTCTGATGAGTCTCGATTTCTGTTGAGACATTCAGATGGTAGAGTCAGAATTTGGCGTAAACAGAATGAGAACATGGATCCATCATGCCTTGTTACCACTGTGCAGGCTGGTGGTGGTGGTGTAATGGTGTGGGGGGTGTTTTCTTGGCACACTTTAGGCCCCTTAGTGCCAATTGGGCATCGTTTAAATGAGCATCGTTTCTGACCATGTCCATCCCTTTATGGCCACCATGTACCCATCCTCTGATGGCTACTTCCAGCAGGATAATGCACCATGTCACAAAGCTCGAATCATTTCAAATTGGTTTCTTGAACATGACAATGAGTTCACTGTACTAAAATGGCCCCCACAGTCACCAGATCACAACCCAATAGAGCATCTTTGGGATGTGGTGGAACGGGAGCTTCGTGCCCTGGATGTGCATCCCACAAATCTCCATCAACTGCAAGATGCTATCCTATCAATATGGGCCAACATGTCTAAAGAATGCTTTCAGCACCTTGTTGAATCAATGCCACGTAGAATTAAGGCAGTTCTGAAGGCGAAAGGGGGTCAAACACAGTATTAGTATGGTGTTACTATTAATCCTTTAGGTGAGTGTATAATATATATTGAAAACTTCAGATGCAAAAGCCTCTAAGTGCCATCTGAAATTTTCTTCAAGAATGATCATTTTTATCAAGCTTTTATGTTTATGTTAAGTTATTTCACTTTAATTGCCATTTTAATTATTAATTGTCATTAAAGTGAAATTACTGAACTTAAATATACGAGCTTGATAAAAATGTTCATTTTAAAAGAAAATTTCAGATGGCACTTAGAGGCTTTTGCATCTGAAGTCTAGAGCAAATGAGCAACCAAACAAGGCACAGGTGAAGACCATAATCAGTAACCATAGAAACAGTCAGTTGGTGCTTCTCAATACTCAAACTGATGTTTCCTCGCTCCTCTGTCCTCCAGCCTGTGACCCGGAAACTGATCAAATGAATGCATTTTGAAGGACATCTCAATTCTCTAATTGCATCGTGAGGAGGGGAGGAACGAGGAGTGAGGAAGCTTCCAGAAGAGCGATGAGCGAGGATGCACAGGTGTATCATATGTGGAAGTCTTTCTTGTCGAAAAACCTGACGCACTTAAATCCTCCTCCCCCTTCACATCTGTCAAAATACTTTTAATTTATGCTTTACCTTTGCAGTTTAAATAAACCATATATTTCACATATTTCAACATGGCATATTACTTCATTATCATTGTCCTTTGATTCCTCCGTCCTCATTTTCTTTCCTTGCAGCCGTCCCTCGCATCCTACAGAGGGTGGAGCTGCAGAGGCAAGGAAAAGAAGCCAGGAAAGAAAACGAGGATGCACAAATTTAGAAATGAGAAGCACCCCTTAAGAAAGAAACTCAAAGAAACAGGAACTGAGCTGCAAAACAAGGAAATACAACTAAAAGTCCATGAAAACAGAAACTAAGCCAAAAAGTATTTTTTTCAGTGGATCACAATAGGTTAAAGCTCTTTTCCATATGGAGGACCAAAGTGCTCTACCATATTTTTATACAATTGCTTCAAAATGCTACAAAACGGGAAGTACACAATAAAAGCACCATAATTGTGGCCCAAATGATTCAAGCATTAGCCTTCTGTAGCCATATGATGTCTGTGTGATGAAAAGTCTGAAATTTAAGTGATTTAAGTCATCATAGTTTAATGAAAAGAAAAATGTCTTGGAATGACATAAGGGTGAGTAAATAATGACAATAATAATGAAACTATCCCATAAATTGTTACTTATATAAAGCAAAGTATTTCACTAATTGTTTTGGTTTGTATTGCACAGCTCTGCCTTGATGTTTTCCACAGTCTAAATTGGTCAAATTAACTAGAATATCCCTTAGATTGGCAACACCCAGAAAAGCCAGTTTTTTTTCTGAATCCCAGCTGAGCTCTCTTTCTTTCTATGTGTCTCTCCCTCTATCTCTCATCCATCTTGCCATTTAAACAGGGCTTTAGAAACCTGCCAGCTTCAAGTCACCTACGCTGATGTCCTTATGCTGAGAGCGACAACAGGCGTGACTGGGTCATGCAGTGTGACGACCAGAGATTATACGCACACACACGCACGCACGCACGCACACACACACACACTATTGAGCAGACGTGTCCGAGGGTTTAGTGAAAGGACATAGAGATTGATGCATTTTATCGATCCCCTAATAGAAATTCAGGTGTAAGGAAATGAGCTGAGGATGATACTAGAAAATGCTCTATTGCCATTTCCACTGCACATGTACTTACTAAAGTGAAGTATAGGCCTATATATACTTCAGTGTCAATTGATCCTTCAGAAATATGCTGATTTGGTGGTCAAATATTTCTTCTTATTATCAATGTTGAAACAATTGTGCTGCACAATATTTTTGTGAAATACATCATACTTTTTTCTGTTTTTTTTTTTTTAAGTTCAAAAGTACAGCATTTAATTGAAATTAAAATCTTTAATAACATCATAAAGGTCTTTACTGACACCTTTCATTAATTTAATGCATCCTTGATAAATAAAAGTATCTTAATTTCATTTAACAAAAATCGCTATTGTTGAATATTCTATTTTACTTAAATATCATGTTACAGAAGTACAATAGGTTGCATGCCATTTCATGTTGACTTTAAATGGCACAGAGATTCATTGATGTACCTCTGCTTTTTGTAACCTAATAACTTCAAAATCTCAGCACTTAGGAAATGTGTCAGCAGCTGGTTGGGACATCTGTGACAATACAGTAGTGCAACTGAGAAACATATTTTTATCTACGAAAAAAATGTGTAATGTATCACAGAACTAATTCTGTACAGGCAGTGACCACACTGACAATTCTGTATCTGTAATTAGCAGCGGTTTTACTTATACAATCACTATTACTCATAGGGTTAGGGATTTGAAATCTTTTGCAGCATGTGTCGTCCCTGCGCCACACCCGAATATATGTGTGCATGCAACACTTGTGATGAGTAATTTCCAGCAATGCCATATGTGCATGACGTTATGGTTGTGATGCCAGGAAGTTGGCTCCCTTCTTTGGCTATCCTAATAGAAGCCTGTGGATGAATATGCATCGCTTGATCAAAGTTCCATGCGAGTGAAACCGAGCTGATACAAGACATTTAAATTTAACCATCCAACATTTGCCAGATTTTGGCCTCCAGCTCTGCAAAAGCATCCCTGACATCCCCTGGCATCTCACATCCATCAGGATCCAACGGATCCCTGAATCATCCAGAATCAATGCTGTGTCTGCAAAGAATATAGCGAGAGGTGTGTGTGTCTGCATTTTGAGGGTTACTGGAAAAGTATACACATACAGTAGCCTACCTATAAAACACTTTAGTGTCAAAAAAAAAGAAAGAAAGAAGAGGAAATAAGTTGCTCTGTTGTAGGATTTGGGATCTTGATAAGTGTGCATTTGTTTCTAATTGGGCACGTTGTCACAAAGTCTCATGTTTATGTTGAATAATTTTTTTGAGAATTTTATCCTGAAAATTGAAAGTATTTATATGTAGTGTAGGCCTATAAAAAGATTTTTCGTGTAAATGAAGGTTGTTGAGATAGGCTAGCCCTTGTGACAACTTCCTACTGAGACAACTTGCCCCGGTTTCCTCCCCTTGTTTGTTTTAGTAGGCTATCTGTTGTTAGGGGGTGTGACAGCCACTTCTCTCCATCCATCCAAAACCCTCTTCCACCGAACGTTAAACGGACCAAACACAAAGAAGTGAGGACGTTCTTCGGGAGGAGCGCTCATCATCATCATCCTCATCCTCCTCCTCCCCACAGCTGAAGATGGCGGACCCGGCCGAGTGCACCATCAAAGTCATGTGCCGTTTTCGGCCTTTAAACAGTTCGGAGGTGATGAGGGGAGACAAATATATCCCCAAATTTCAAGGAGAGGATAGTGTGGTCATCGGGGTGAGTTTATAATATAATAGCATGACGAATTGCCGCATTTGCTCCGTTGTGACATCCGCCGTCCATTTCTATTAGCATCCGCTAACCACCTGCAGACGTATCCTGACAGAAAATATATATATATATTTGTATTCCTATGTATGTGGAAATGTGATAATAATTCGTGTTTTAGTATTATTCTAAGTAGGACATGGTACGTGTGAGGCTATAAATCAGTAACATAATCGCAAGTTGAATAGTTTTTAGTCATCGTTAGCTCGATGGCTAACACAGTCCTCAGATGTAACGTTAATGCAGCACAATGTCAAAATGTTTAATTTTGAACTTATAAATAGGAAAACCTAATCTTTTGTGTCAATTAAATAATTTTGGATTTGAGTGCACTTCTAAATGGGTTTTGATAAGTAATATACCGCTAGCCCCTGGGCTAATGTTAATCGGTTTGTTTTCATTTGTAGAAAATCAACAAAAGCTTGCTAAATATAGGGCCTATGTACATATTTCGCACATCATGCGAAAATTTTAAGTCAATATGAGTTTTAAAAATGAATCAATTAAGTGAATGTGATCATAACACTCACTGATGTCAGTATGTTATGATGTGGCCTACTTTTAAAACGTCAAATGAACAAAGACCATTCCAAGTCATTTATTTTGGCTATATTTGTGCTTTATTGGGAACAGACAAATACATGTGTATATTTACAGCATGCAATACAACTCACTTCCAATCAGATTTGTGGGCCTGTATATAGACACTAGTTAGGCTATAATCCATATGTTCCTACTTCTCAGGTTTTAGGTCAGTTTATTAAAATATATTTATTTATTGAGGTTTAGTCTTTAAAGCGTTGCCATTTTTAAACAGTTGTAAATGCGAAGGGGATGTTGGCCAGATTTATAAAGTTATTTAAAAATGTTTTATTTTTATTAATTAATAATGCACTTCAGTTAAAGCCATGACTTGAATGTACCTTTTCTCTGATGGTAATGTTTTCCATTTCTGAAGTTAAAGTTTTCACATGTTTTGTCTTGGTTTTGTAACTAAAATAAATAAATAAGTTGCATTAAAATGCTGACATGATTGTTTTGGCATAATAGTCTTCTCCTATTAAAATGTTCCTGGTTAGATGTATTGCCTATTTTCCTATTTTTAACCATACATCTTACTAATTTATTTGCATTATTAAAAAGTCTTGCTTGCAAGGAATTGTGTAGTAATTCTGTAATTGAGTGGCAGTATCTGATGTTTGATGCTTATTCTGCCTTATGTACTTTTTACATTTTAGTTAAACTAGGCTACTTGTTTAAACTCATACTGCAGTATGGATGTCTATTAGAGTGACAATGTCCTAAATTTCCCTCATGCAGTCTGTGCAATGTACAGCTGGGTATTAGGTGGAGCAGTTTTGTGGTTTTGCTGTGGTCAATTTGCTCTGGTAGTTTTTTCTTTTGGTCTATATCAGGTCCAGAATTTCGATGGATTCAACTTCTTTTCGTTTTGGCCTCCATTTCGCAGTGACACTGTACTGTCTGACCAACACTCACCCTTTTGTTTTCCAGTGCACTGATGTTGTTGGTTTTTTTTTTTTTTTGTGCGCGTGTGCGGCCAAATGAGTTTTGTCTTCCAGCTGTTTTGAGCAAGTCAGCATCAAGCACCAGAGCAACTATCCAGCTCTGGTGAAATGGACCGTGCTTGTGTTGGTATAATGGCTTTTAGCAGGTGGAATGGAAAGATCATAGATTGGGCTATAAATCTTGCTGTAACAAAGGAAACCAAACCTGTCTGTCCAGCTGCACATACAGGGATCAGTATTGGGATTATGCATGTTTTATTGTGTTGATATCTGTCTCAGTTCAGTATTAGTTCATAAGGGAATATTCTGTAATTAGCCTTTTCTTTGCTTGTTTCTTTCTTTTCTCTCTCTGTCTCTATGCAAACACAGCACAACGAACATGTGATGAACCTTCCCATCTCTGTGACCGTTGGGAGCACAATTATAATCCCTCATTGGGAATACTGAGAGTTGTAAACAGTGCTGTTCCATTTCCGGGAGTGGAGGAGACCTCAGGACATACAGATATACAAAAACACTCTTCACACAGTCTTGTGATTGTCTGAAGATTTTTATAAGAAGTCACTGGTTTGAAATTCCAAAGCTGTGATATCGTGCATTATTAATATTTCAAACTTTGACTATTGAGCCTTTTGGTTCACTGAATGTTCAAGTTATGTTGTTTGACGATAACTGTGAAAATGTAAAATATTAGTATTGTTGCCGATGGTTATGCTACATCATATTTGCTTTATAATGCATGAGGAATGCAAGAAAGCCTCATCTGTATGTCGCTGTGTCATGTAAACGTGCTGGAGGTGTTATTGATATATCAGGGACAGTGTTATTATTTCTAACTTATCTTTCTTTATTTCTAACTAATCTCTCTTTTTTATTTCTTTCATTCGTTCTAACTAATCTTTCTTTATTTCTAACTAATCTCTCTTTTTTATTTCTTTCATTCGTTCTAACTTATCTTTCTTCCTTCTTTCTTTCTAACTAATCTCTCTTTTTTTATTTCTAACTAATCTTTTTTTCTTTCTTTCATTCGTTCTAACTAATTTTTCTTTCTTTCTAACTAATCTTTCTTTCTAACTAATTTTTCTTTCTTTCTAACTATTCTTTCTTTCTAACTAATCCATCTATCAAACTTCAAACTATTTTAAACTTCTTCAAACTCTCTGGTCCAGCTTTTTCAAGTTGTTAACTAAAACTATTACAAATCATGTTTTAAAGTTTAAAATTATTTATGAAAATAACTTGAATTAATGAAAATTACTCAAACTTAAGATAAAAATAAAGCTAAATGGAAATATAAAAAAGGGACAAAAGCACATAACAAAATTATTAACTTAAAATGAGAACTGAAAATATCAAAATAAAAGCTAATTCAACATATTAAAATACTGTAATAGTATATAATGCTATACTAACACTAATAGTTTGATATTTGGCCATGTTATAGAAATAAAACAATAAATGTGCCTTCCAATTAACAAAAGTGTCATCTCTAAATAAACTGACGTAAATAATATAATATTAAATGAATAAAAAATAATAAAGCATTGTCAGTACATAACTCGCATTTTGTTTGTTGTTTTTTTAGAGATTGTGTAAATTCATTAATGTCATCTATTTGTGTATATTTAATTTGCTGTGATTAGGGATGCAGGCTTGTGTTGTGGTAGGTGTGAGTGTATTGTTGTGTTAGCGAGCGGTTGCTCAGGTTGGCTGGACTAATCTGCTTAGCTGTGTTACATTCACAGCTGTTTCCTCACCTGGTTAATCTACTCCTGTGTTGGAGTGGCATGGTGAGGAAATGTGGACGTGGGTCACGTCAACCCGATTCATCCAATCAGCGTGGCAGAACCTGCTTCTGTAACGTTCATTCGCTGAAGAATTTGTTAAGAGTCATTTGCATGTGACTCGGACTACAGCTTGTTCGCTTGTTTGTTTTTGCCGTCCAAAGAGGACTCTTTTTTTTTTTTTTTTTTTTTTTCTTGCAGTTTTTTTATCGAAGACACCAGCTTTATCTGCGGGCACTTTGCATAAATGATACATGACAGCGTTGGTTATTTCTTTATGCCTTTTTGAACTCTTTTCGTATGTTGTGCAGTTCACAAATGCCAGTATTATCGATTTTTGTTCACCTGCGTATTTTTTTCCTGTTACGTGTTATATGAGCGTCTTTAAACGTTGCGCTCAAAAATATTTTGCTGCGCTCACTTTTTCTCTCGTCACATACAATTCACAAGCTCACAGTTTCAAACATTTTATATAAAACTTCAGTAGTGTATTTTTTTATTTAAAATATACTTTTTTGTGTTTAGAAAAGATATTCAGTTGCATCAGCAGTGCTTTATTGGATAAGCATACAGTCTTGTATCTTTGTCTTGTCCGTTTTTGTAATGTTGTGATTCATCTCTCAGATTGCTTAGTTCAAGGCTTATAACCATTTTTAAATACATTTAGAGAAAATAATAGGAAACAAACTTCTGAAAGCAGGGCTGCTAATAAACAGGGTGGTCAGGAGGATGTATAATCTGTTGTTTTAGCCGTACAGAGCGAGCTCATGCCTGGACGAAGATCTCTAATAAAATGCTCTTATTGTGTCATAACAGCTGAATTTCACACCTGATTTACTGTCACTGCGGTTTGTGTTAAAGGTTAGAGCCATTCGTAACAGGAGGGAAGGATGTCTCGTTCGTTGGCCTGTAGTAATGAGGTTCTTGTTTAGTCTGTGCTTATTCTCATTAGGTGTAAAACGTTTCTCCGAAGGCTCATCTTTGAGTCTTATGACTAGTCTGCTGATTCAGAGTTATATATAAAGAGAAACGCATTTATGCATAATGACACATCATTCATTCTCTGTCTTTCTTTCTCTCCAGGGAAAGCCGTACATGTTTGATCGTGTGTTTCAGTCTAACACTTCTCAGGAGCAGGTTTACAACGCTTGTGCTCAGAAGATTGTTAAAGGTGAAGAACGTGTCCTCTGGGAGTCATTCAACCAGATCACAACTTAAAAATGAAAATTCTGTCACCTTCATGTTGCCATTCATATTATTTAGTATAGTAATTTGTTGATATTATTTAAGCATCCCTAAATATTTTATTAGAGACCATAAGATCATGTTCAAATGGTATATTTTGTTGTCTTTGTGCCCTGCAGATGTGCTTGAGGGTTACAACGGTACGATATTTGCTTATGGACAAACATCCTCTGGAAAAACACACACAATGGAGGTGAAAATAAATCTAGAAATAAGCATAATCAGTGTCATAAATTATTTTCAAATATTAGGTAATTTAATACAAACCCAGTGTGGTTTTGTTACTGATTCCACTGTTGTTTTAGGGTTTAACTTTCTGCTTGTGGTTTTTGGCAATCAAGGCTATCAGTGTACCTTTAAATCATCTCACATCATCATTGCAATTCAATGTGTGTTTGTGCGATTGTAGGGGAACCTGCACGATTCTGACGGCATGGGCATCATTCCCCGGATCGTCCAGGATATATTCAACTACATTTACTCCATGGATGAAAACCTGGAATTCCATATCAAGGTTTGAGATGCATGACAAATCAGTGTTAGTTATTCAAAGGGTTCCCAGTGATATTTGTAGACCTAGAAAAGCCGTATGAATTAGGCATGGGAACTTCTTTGTGCTCATCTCCAGATTTTTAATGATGCTTTTTGTCTGTGCAATCTCTATAAAAGGGATTTATAATGTTACAAAATATTTCTAAAATGGCTGTTATTTTGAACCATCAAAAAATCCTGAAACCACAAAAATATTAAGCAGCACAACTGTTTTTAACATTGATAATAATAAGAAATATTTCTTGAGCAGCAAATCAGCATGTTAGAAGGATCATGTGACACTGAAGACTGGAGTAATGATGCTGAAAATTCAGCTTTGCCATTACAAGAATAGGTTACATTTTAAAATATATAAAAATAGAAAACATTTTTTTTTTTTTTTAAGTTGTTTTAAATTGTAATAATATTTCACAAAATGTTGTTTTAGTGTATTTTTGATTAAATAAATGCAGCCTTGGTGAGCATAAGCTACTTTTCAAAAGCACTTAAAAAAATCTTACTGACTTACTTACTTACAGTAGTGTATTAATTGTATAACTGCTGGTATTAATTTGAAACTACTTTTGAACAGTAGTGTATTAATTGTATAACTGCTGGCAAACTCACAGAGCTCATCTGCATTGGCAGGTCTCCTATTTTGAGATTTACCTGGACAAGATCAGGGACTTACTGGATGGTATGTATGACTAATTATGAAATCAAATATAAAATTCTGTCATCTTTGCTTTGTTTTATTATTAGAGATTGTATATTAGAGTCTTCTGTCAGATTATAAATAATAATAATAATTAGGATTTAATTAGGGTCAGAAATGGGCTAATTTGAAATCATAAATTCTGTCTCTCTTTCAGTATCTAAGACCAACCTGTCTGTACATGAAGACAAGAACAGGGTTCCTTACGTAAAGGTGAGGCTTTGTTTGAGTAATTAGCTGTGGATGTATTAGTCTAGAGGTGGTTCAAATGTTTTGCTTGTCTATCTCTTTCTCCATCTGCAGGGTTGTACTGAACGGTTTGTGTGTAGCCCGGATGAAGTGATGGACACCATTGATGAAGGCAAATCCAACAGACATGTGGCTGTTACAAGTAAGCACATGCAAATCAGTCAGACAAAGTGCATAGTCTTATTTTAGCTCCAGGCTGAACTTTTCCACACTTGTTGAGTTATATTAAGTCAAGTCAAGTCACATTTATTTATATAGCGCTTTTCACAATACAGATTGCATCAAAGCAGCTTCACAGTGATAACATGAAAGTAGTACAACACAGTTCAATAATATTGTTGAATATTAAATATCCCCAACTAAGCAAGCCAAAAGCAAGGCGACAGTGGCAAGGAACCAAAACTCCATCAGATTGGATGGAGAAAAAAACCTTGGGAGAACCCAGGCTAGTCAGGGGCCAGTTCTCCTCTGGCTAACAATCATAGGGTTTTAAAGAAGCTTTACAGTAAGTCCACATCAGAGAGTACCTGGAAAAAATACATTTAGTTAATCATGTAATATTTAGGGGATAACATATCGCCGGCGTTGAGTCGTCTCTTCGCAGGCGTTGAGTCGTCTCTTCACAGGCGTTGGTCTTCTCATCACAGGCGTTGAGGCATCCGAAATCCCCGTGAGAGGCAGGATACCAAACTGGAGCCTACGAACGCCATTTTTCTCGGGACAAGCGTCCCGAGATAACAGCAGAAAGGCAGATGGGAAATAATTAGCATAGCTGATGTTCATAATGATTTCCATTACACGGGAGTAGGTGTTAGAAAACCATAATCTCACAACTCTCCGTAACCCAAACTCTCCGCAACCATACGGACCGACCCGTTTGTCTATAAGGCTGTCGAGCCCCACTGGTGCGTTAAGCAGTTTCAGTGGCAAACATTAGCGAGAGTATTTTCAGGACGTTCTTTCTATTTGACTGCTTTAGAGATGTTTATACAATCTTAAGATTTTCCTGTTGTCAAAGTTGAGTCGAAATGTAAACTCATGTTTTCTCTGGTGTGTGTGTGTGTGTGTGTCAGACATGAACGAGCACAGCTCCAGGAGTCACAGTATCTTCCTGATAAACGTCAAGCAAGAGAACACACAGACGGAGCAGAAACTGAGTGGGAAACTCTTCCTGGTGGATTTAGCAGGAAGCGAGAAGGTAATGGAAAAAGCATGGAAAATGTCTGCAAAGTTACAAAGGGCTAAGTCCATTCCAAAGGGAGTTATTCTCTATATCAGTGCTCACTGTTTCTGAACTCCCTGAAACGCCTCGGTTGTAGTCTTGAGTTTTCTTCCGGGCGAAAACGCGTCACAAGATTCCTCATTTAAATAATTCCTGCTCAAGGCATAAGCAAAATAAAAGGCGTGAGGCCTGGTTGAGTTGAGTCATGCCGAGTTCAGACTGCACGATTTTAGCCCCGATTTTGGCTCGCCGTCAGGTTTTGAGAAATCGCCGACAAATGCCCGAAATCACAGGCAAATCCGTGCTCGTTCACGCGAGTGACAATCACGCAGTGTGAATGAGCAAAGACGTGATCTGAGAGAATCGCCGACGAGTCGCCGACGCCCGTGAGATATTTGGCATGCTAAATATCTGGACATGTCGGCGATTCACAATCCTGCTGTGTGAATGTGTTCTGACTGAAAACTACATCGGCGATGACCGACAGCCAATGAGAGAGCAAGATACAGGGAGGAGGAGGAGTTATAGACCCGAATATCAGTATTTTAATAGATAGGCCTATATTTACAATTATATCAAACTAGGGCTGTTTTCGACTAAGGATTTTCATAGTCGAATCTGATTCGTTAGATTTTGCCGTAGTCGACTGATAGTCGAACCTTTTTTTTTTTTTTTTTTTTTTTAGATATCATCTAGACGTTCGGTTGAATAACTGTTCGTCTGTTATAGGACAACTCGCTCTACGTTTATTTAAAAATAAACAGCAAGACAACTATAAGTGAATGTGCTTTCCATTAAATGAATCCTTAACACAAAAAAACGTTGCAATGAACGTGCTTTGTTTTAAATAAATCACACACAGTAAACAAAACCTTAACAAAAAAACTTTGCAATGAACTTTGCAATTTAGACGCGCAAACTGCGTGCCGGTGCGGTGAGACGTACATGCTCGGGCAGATTCGGCTAGAAGTCGTTCATCCTCGGATGCAGCGTCGCGCGCGCTGTTACAAAAAAAGCAAAATGGGGTCTTGCCGGTCTTGCGCACCCAACGCGTCATTTTTTGCCGCGCGCACCTTCGCGCTCGTGCGGACGCGTCGAGTATAAACAAGGCTTTACTCCGTGTCAGCGCGCGCTCTGATCGGTAAAGGTGCACAGACCTCTCCCGAATCATCTCCAGCACTTAGCCTCCGACGCACCACTAACTCCGCCTCCCCTTCCCTCGTAAGATGATATTAGTATTTAAACATTCTCTATGATAAAAAATGTTTTAATAGCACCGCTTTGGCGGTTATAGAGTTCTAATGACGGTGTTCAACTATAACCGTCGGTCTCACGGTTATATAATAACGTCACACCCCTCATAACACTTGCCTACTATTCGACTATGAGGTTCATAGTCGAATCAGACCCCTCCGAATCGAATCGTCGAATCGTCGACTATTAGAAGTCAGCCCTATATCAAACAGAAACAAAGCACAAACATTTGCATGACCAGCAGCAACAGCAGGACATTTGCAAAATTATTTATTTACCCCCAACTCTCTTTGCAAAACACAGTCCTTGCTCCCCTCGTCTTCCCAACCATTTCCTGCATAAACTGTTTTTTTTTTTTTTTTCATTTTCGCTACAAATCAGTGCACAGACAATTTGTAGGCTATCATTTTAAATAACAAATTCAGTGTCGTGCGAGAACTCCGGTCTCACGCACGCGTGATCTTCCGTTATTTACTATCACTTCTCGCGTTTGTTTGGTTGTGAAACGTAGTTTGCGGACCAGGCAGAAGTTGTCGGCGATTCTTTCTTTTGTAAATTCATGGAGTGTGAAACCTCCTGTCGCCGATCCATCGTGCAGTGTGAACACAGCAGCAACTGAATGTTACCCCAGATAGTCATGCAGTGTGAAAACAACAGTGACCCGATTATTTTGAAAATCGTGCAGCCTGAACTCGGCATTAGTTGTGTGTTGAAACTCACGGTTATGGTAAGGGGTGTGGCATTTCTGAAAGGCATTTGAAGCAGTTAACCAATCACAACACACTGGCCCAGCTGACCAATCAGAGCACATTGTGCTTTTTAAAAAGAGGGGCTTCATAGAGACAAGGGGTGCTTCTCATTTCTTATTTGTGCATCCTCGTTTCCTTTCCTCGCTTCCTTTCCTCGCGTCTCAGCTCCACCCCCTGTAGGACGCGAGGGAAGGCTGCAAGGAAAAAAAATGAGGACGGAGGAATTGAATGAAAGCTTTTTTATGCATTGGAATACTTGATCACTCGAGCGTCACTTCACTGCGTCATCAGCAGTGCTCAAAGGATCTGCCCTTATGTTGTTAAAGTTTGTTTATTTAAGAAATTAATAATAAATAATAATAAAGCAAGATACCTTGTTGAAATATGTGAGTTGTGTGGTTTATGTAAACTACAAAAGTAAAGTATAAATTCAAATGATTGTGACAGATGTGAAGGGGGAGGAGAATTGATACGTGCGTCATGTTTAGTCGATAAAACTCTTCCGCAAAGGGTACACCTGTGTATCCTCGCTCATAGCTCCTCTGGAAGCCTCCTCACTCCTCGATCCTCGATCCTCGCCTCCTCGCGGTGCAATTAGAGAATTGAGATGTCCTTCAAGATGGCTGAGCTCGATCGGTTTCCGGGTCATAGGATGGAGGACGGAGGAGCGAGGAGACGAGGAGGGATATTGAGAAGCACCCCAGGACTAAACAGAGCGTTACTGAAAGACTGGGAAGAGAGATGCTGCAACAATGTAAAATGTGTGAAAATGCACGAAAACATATTGTAGTAGACCCCAAAAACAAAATCAAGACTTTGTAAAAGTCTTTAATATTAGTTTCATTTGTGGCAGCACTGTCTCTGATTTGATGTTTTTGACTGCAGGTCAGTAAAACCGGAGCAGAAGGTGCAGTGTTGGATGAAGCCAAAAACATTAACAAATCTCTTTCCGCTCTGGGCAACGTCATCTCCTCTCTGGCTGAAGGATCGGTGGGTGTGATGCGCCTGATTGTTACAATTACGTACGATTACCTGTGCCATTAAATGGATGGAAGGGTAATGAATGAATATTTCTTTCCCATGTCAGACGTACGTTCCCTACAGAGACAGTAAGATGACGAGGATCTTGCAGGATTCTCTGGGTGGGAACTGCAGGACCACTATAGTGATCTGTTGCTCTCCATCCTCATACAACGAGGCTGAGACTAAAACTACACTCATGTTCGGACAGAGGTGAGGAGACACATATTGAGTTTAATGAGAGTTTTAATGAAACTTTAGTGTTGAGCATCAAGTCATTTTTCGGTTCTCACTGTCAGAGCAAAGACCATTAAGAACACAGTGTGTGTGAACGTGGAGCTGACAGCAGAACAGTGGAAGAAGAAATATGAGAGGGAGAAAGAGAAGAACAAGACGCTAAAGAACACCATCACCTGGTTGGAGAACGAGCTCAACCGCTGGAGGAACGGTACTAAAATGACACACACACACACACACACACTCACTTCATACTCATTCAGCTGTAATTGCTGAGAGTTGCACACAACTGCATTGTATTTTATGTTTTCAGGTGAGAGCGTCCCTGCTGAAGAGCAGTATGATAAGGAGAAGGCAAACGCAGAAGTTCTGGCTCTGGATAATGTGGTGAATAATGATAAAATCACCTCGTCTCCCAGCATGCCTGCCCTCAAATTCACTGACGCCGAGCGTGAGAAGTGTGAGGGTGAATTAGCCAAACTCTACAAACAGCTGGATGACAAGGTGAGACAAACTACTGACCTCAAATGAATGAATGAAGCTTTTGGACTAGTGATGAGTGATGGTTGACCTTGCTGATTTTGAGATTATTGGCATTTAAAAATGTTCAGGGTATTTTCAAATATTGTGTGAAAACATTTTTGTTTCAGCTTTTTTTTCCCCCCATATCAGTTGCATAGGTTAAATTACAAAGAAATATATAGTACCAATCAAACGTTTGAAGTCGCATTAAGGACGCATTAAGTTGATCAAAAGTGACAGTGAATGGCATTTATAATGTTGCAAAAGATTTCTATTTCAAATAAATGCTGATGAACTTTCTATTCATCAAAGAATCCTGGAAAAATTCTTAAAATAGTAAAGTTATTTTAAATGTGTATAACATTTAACATTTTTCTATTAATAGTACTGTTTTAATGTATTTTTTATCAAATAAATGCAAACTTGATGAGCAATAGACTTAAAAAAAATCTTACTGACCCCAGTCTTTGAAACGGTTGTGTAAATTAATATTATTGACCATCAATCACCCTGCTCTATAGACCTTGGTATTTGCCATAGATAAATATGTCTGATTCAGTTGACAAATAGTCCAAATTAATGACATTCTCTCTAGATTATTATTGCAGTGTTGACATCTTATTATAGTACAAAACATCAGCATGATCATGAAAAAATAAAATCCAATATTGTTTTGATACACCATAAGCATAACATTGGTACCATACATTAGTACCATCTGATGTATTTTAGCTTACAGACTTGTGAATAATGTAAAAAAAAACCATTCTTTTCTTAATAATGTTCTCCTGTAAAATCAAGATTTGCTTTAAAGAAACATTCATTACATTTATTCTTTCTCTTTCTTTCTCTCTCTTTCTCTCTTTTTCTCTTTTTCTCTCTCTCTCTCTCTCTCTCTCTCTCTCTCTCTCTCTCTCTCTCTCTCTCTCTCTCTCTCTCTCTCTCTCTCTCTCTCTCTCTCTCTCTCTCTCTCTCTCTCTGCTGTCTAACTCTAGGATGATGAGATAAATCAGCAGTCTCAGCTGGCTGAGAAACTCAAGCAGCAGATGTTGGATCAGGAAGAGGTAAGAGCTGAACATGGACATCAGATTTACATTACTTCCCATAAAAAAAAAGAACAGTGTCCTGTCTCCTAGTTGATTGAATCCTTTAGAGACTTGGGAGTTGGGATTTGCCTTTTGCCATTAAGAACTTTATATTAAAGGCATTAAGAGCTCTAAATGATAAATAACATTCCAGCCTAGTGGTTAGTTCACATGCTCCTTATACTGTATATGTTGAGTTACAGGTTTTAATCTGGACCGTGTTATGTCCCAATACAAGAATTTGAACCTAATGACCCTAAAGTTGTGCAACATGTTTAATGACAGTAATTTCACAATGCAAAAAAAAAATCTTCCTTTGTATTGTAGCTGCTGGTCTCAACGCGGAGGGACCATGACAACCTCCAGGCGGAGCTCACCCGTCTGCAGATGGAGAACGACGCGTCTAAAGAGGAGGTGAAGGAGGTCCTGCAGGCTCTGGAGGAACTTGCCGTCAACTATGATCAGAAGAGTCAGGAGGTGGAGGACAAGACCAAGGAGTTTGAAACCCTGAGTGAAGAGCTCAACCAAAAATCTGTGAGCGGAAACTCATTTTTTTACTCTATAATGTATACAATATATTACTACATAATATATTTCAAATGGGAAGGTACCTATAATAGTGCCAGATCGTATTTTTATGGTGTGCCTTGGTATTAGTTAGCTAATCTGAGCTGTGTTTTTGCAGAGCGTTCTCGCATCTATTGACTCTGAGCTGCAGAAACTGAAGGAAATGACCAACCATCAGAAGAAGAGAGTCACTGAGATGATGTCATCACTGCTCAAAGACCTGGCAGAGATCGGCATCGCCGTAGGCAGCAATGACATTAAGGTAACAAGGCAAAGAACCATGACGTTGAATACTATGTTTCTTTATCCTTGCTGTTTAATTTCCTTTCCTTTCAACTGCTCAGCCTCCTCTCTTAACATCAATTCTTTTTCTGTCTTTGTTTCTTTTTCTCTGTCTGTGTCTTTCGCTCAACAGCATGAAGGTGGAGGTCTCATTGATGAAGAGTTCACAGTGGCTCGTCTGTACATCAGTAAGATGAAGTCGGAGGTGAAGACTCTGGTGAAGCGCAGCAAACAGCTGGAAGGCTCTCAGGCCGAGAGCAACAAGAAGATGGATGAGAACGAGAAAGAGCTCGCAGCCTGTCAGCTCCGTATCTCTCAGGTAAACGGGAGGAAAAGATAAAGCAACAAATCTTCCGTCTTGTTGGAGTAGTTCATCCAGAAAAGAAAATGTCATTATTTACTTACCCTTCTAGCATGAGTTTTTTCTACTGGACATCAAACAAGAATTAAAGAGTGTCTTTTAGTAAAACCAGTCTCATGGTTTATATTGTATGGCTGTAGCTAAATGAAAACCCCACATGTTCTTCATTACAATAATAGCATGCCGTTTACAGGGTGCTTTAAAAGATCCTGAGATATTTTTTGTTTTTGTCTACAGTATGAGGCAAAGATCAAGTCCCTGACAGAGTATCTGCAAAACATTGAACAGAAGAAGAGACAGTTAGAGGAGAATGTTGACTCTCTCAATGAGGAACTGGTCAAAATCAGCGCCCAGGGTACAAATTTACTCCATCTCTTCTTTCCTCTCATAAATGCTTTTTAATGGCCGTATAAACTTTGTTTGGCCCAGACTCCTTTACTTTTACTGCCCTCTTGTGGTGAGATTGCATGGGGCGTGAAAGGCTTGTTTTTGTGATGTTTATTTTCTTTTGTGCAGAGAAAGTTCATGCAATGGAGAAGGAGAATGAGATACAAAGTGCTAATGAAGTCAAGGTAAGCATGGTAAGGTAATGTTTCTGGACTTTTTTACTGAGTGTTGCCAAATAAACTGTTTATGTGGCATTTATGTGTTCTGCAGTTTAGATTGCATCAATTCTGAACGGGTCTTATGATTTTCCTTTATTTTAAAAGAGAGATGTAATATTTTTTTCTCTGTTTATGACTGGACAGACTGCCGTCGAGCAGCAGATTCATAACCACAGAGAAGCTCATCAGAAACAGCTAAGCAGCCTTAGAGATGAGCTGGAGATCAAGGAGAAACTCATCACTGAACTGCAGGAGTAAGACATATATATATATATATATATATATATACTCCTCTTCAGACACTGAATCAGGGCCACATGTGCTCAGGCTCATTTTCCTCACTTTGTCTTCTGTCTGCAGTCAGAACCAGAAGATCATGTTGGAGCAGGAGCGCTTGAAGGTGGAGCATGAGAAACTCAGATCCACTGACCAGGAGAAGAGCCGCAAACTGCACGAGCTCACGTAGGACACACACCAAACATGCAGAGTATAGTGTGCGGGAAACGTTATGTCTGGTGTGTTAATGATGAAATATGTTTATAGGGTGATGCAGGACAGAAGGGAACAGGCCAGACAGGATCTCAAAGGCCTTGAGGAGACAGTGGTAGGTCATTTTGTTCTGTGCTTGAGAGATGATTCTTGTTTGTATGTGTGCACTCTCTGATCACTCACTTCTCCTCAGGCCAAAGAGCTGCAGACTCTTCATAATCTGAGGAAGCTCTTTGTTCAGGATCTGGCCACGCGGGTGAAGAAGGTACAACCATTGTGAATGTGTAATTGTAGTTTAGAGTTCAAAAGTTACTCCAGATAATGAAAATAGTTTTATGTGGATATTAAAAACGAAAAGTTTTATAGGTCCCTGAGTGTATTGCTGACTTTTTCTGTCAACTAATGCTCCATGTAATCGGGGAGTTTGGGCAGGACATATTTAAATGTTTTATTTTATAATAACTTATAATAACTTATTTTATTTGTAAATTTAAAATTTCATATTACATTTAAATTATTTTATTTTTACTTGAATTTATTTTACTTTTGTACTTTTAATATAAAAATATATATTAAAAAAATGTAAATTAAAAATGTATTTTACTATCATTTATATTTGAATATAATCTTAAAAAAATATATATGTTACTTTATTTCATTTTAGATTTGTACTATTATTAGTAGGCTTTAAAGGAGAACTCCGGCGCAAAATGAACCTTTGGTCTAATTACACATTGTTACCTAGTCAACCGTTATCTGAGATTTGTTTTCATGATTATCGAATGTAAATAGTTTTATCTCTAAAAACAGTTTAGCCTATAAAGCTAGTATAACGGTAGTATATTGGGCATAGATCAATGGCAAATAAAAATCGCTTGTTAATACCACTAACAAGGCTCAAAATAGCCCCACACTAACACGGTAGCATAATGAGGGTCCCTACCTTCAAACCGAAGCATTGAGAACTTTGTCAGTGTCCAGACAGTTTAATAAGAAGATATTTTAAACATACAGTCAACTTCGCGTATACAGGCAGGAGCCATCTTTGAAATACAGTCTCTACCAGTCGATCTACGAACGCCGATCCAAGCCTGCTGTTCGCGCTCACCTTATCACAACTTATAGCTCGTTCACATTCTCACCAGCGCAATTGGATTGGCGTTCGTAGATCGACTGGTAAAGACTGTATTTCAAAGATGGCTCCTGCCTGTATACGCGAAGTTGACTGTATGTTTAAAATATCTGGTGGTGATGGCGCAGTGGATTAGACACATGCCTTTGGTGTGAGAGACCCGGGTTCGAATCCACTGTGAGATACCAATGTGTCCCTGAGCAAGACACTTAACCCCTAGTTGCTCCAGAGGCGTGTGACCTCTGACATATATAGCAATTGTAAGTCGCTTTGGATAAAAGCGTCAGCTAAATGAATAAATGTAAATGTAAATATCTTCTTATTAAACTGTCTGGACACTGACAAAGTTCTCAATGCTTCGGTTTGAAGGTAGGGACCCTCATTATGCTACCGTGTTAGTGTGGGGCTATTTTCAGCCTTGTTAGTGGTATTAACAAGCGATTTTTATTTGTCATTACACTATGCCCAATATACTAGTGTTATACTAGCTTTATAGGCTAAACTGTTTTTAGAGATAAAACTATTTACATTCGAAAATCATGAAAACAAATCTCAGATAACGGTTGACTAGGTAACAATGTGTAATTAGACCAAAGGTTCATTTTGCTCCGGAGTTCTCCTTTAAATCACTGCCATCAAAGCTAATAAACTAGACGTCATAAAACTCCAGTTATCAACAACTCTCAGACAGGCCTTAATTATGTATCAACATATTTTTCAGAGCGCTGAGATGGACTCAGATGACACTGGTGGCAGCGCGGCGCAAAAACAGAAGATCTCGTTCCTTGAGAACAACCTTGAACAGCTCACTAAAGTGCACAAGCAGGTAAACACACCCTAAAACATCAGATACCTCATGCGTTCTCTCACAACACACGCTCACTGTCTCTTTCCTTTCTCTGTGTAGCTGGTGCGTGATAACGCTGACCTGCGCTGTGAGCTGCCCAAGCTAGAGAAGCGCCTGCGGGCGACGGCGGAGCGCGTGAAGGCTCTGGAGTCTGCGCTCAAAGAGGCCAAAGAGAACGCAGCACGTGACCGCAAACGCTACCAGCAGGAGGTGGACCGCATCAAAGAGGCCGTCAGGGCCAAGAACATGGCTCGCAGAGGACACTCTGCACAGATCGGTTAGTTCTCTCACACACACACACACTTTAAAAGAGTGCAATTACTAGATTCAGCCATATGTCTTTCACCATGCTTGAAAGTTGCAAGGGACTTGGATAGTGTTGAGAATATCACTCTACCACAGAGGAAACAGTGAAAGTTTTTGATTGCTAATATGAAGTGTTGCTCGCTCACTTTTTTTAGGGATGTTAATAGATTAAAATAATGAATCATTCTTCATTTCATGATTTCTTTGAATTTAACACAATTAATGGGCAGTTTAGAAGCGTTTCAGTTAAGGCTGAAATATACTACATGACTTTTAAAATCAGAATAGATTTAATATTCTGTGTCTTTACAAAGTCGTCATACACTTGCCGACTTTGTAAATAATTAAAGAGAATAAACGACATTCCAAAAACAAAAAAACTCACACAGTTTTGTGTGTGCCTGATTTCTAGGAGACACAAATGATTATAAGATGTGCTCTAAAATTGGCACAAAACATTGATATCCTCCGACTGGAATCAGAGTCTGCAGCTAAAAAATTTGAGTCTATGCCCATCATACACTACGCACTTTTTTTTGTTGTGAAATCTGTCAACTTCTGCTGTCCGAAATCAGCTCTGACTTTCCGCAACTAGCGTTGACTGGTTTTAGTTGACCAATTTAATAGACAATCAACTTGTTTTGGGGTCTAACTAACTAGTCATATTTCCTCTTTTCACAGCCAAGCCAATCAGACCAGGTCAGCCCCCTGTCGCCTCTCCCACCCACCCCAATGTCAACCGCTCAGGGGCGGGGCTCTTCCAGAACAACCAATCAGTGGGCATCCGTGGAGGAGGCGTAGCCAAACAGTAAAATAAGTGAGTAGATGCTGCATATTACTCACAAATGTGTCATATTATCGAGGTAAAATGGGTTGTGAATATCTTCTTTTTTTTTTTATGTCTTACTCCTTCTTTTTTTTAACCTTCTGTCTCTTTCTTTCTTTTCTGTTTCCAGCTGTTGAATGCTGAATATAACCCCAGTAGCCCCAGCTGAAGCTGATATCACCCCAAAAAGCTAAACAGGCATTCCACAGCACGGGAGGGTTCAAACCTATACATATGGAAATGAATATAAGTATATATATGTGTATGAAACATGAAATACTATCCCCGTCTGGGCTGTACAGTTGTTCCTCCATTCTTATCTCTTATATCTTCCCTTAAAAAAATATAAAGAAAACTAAAAAAGACAGGCTTTTTGCACCAGTGGACACGTGTGTAACTAGCGTGTATCTCTTCACTCTTGCACAGTCGGTTTCTGCTCACATCCTGCTCTCCACGTCCCTCACTGTGCCAAGTTGAATGTATTTCAAAATTACAAAAGAAAAAAAAGGCAGAAATGAATGAAAAATGGTAAAAAGGAACAAAAAAACTACTAGCTACGTTATTTTAGCCTTATTTATGTCCGTTCACATTTTGGGTTTGTTTAGAGAGTTAGCTTGTTCTCTCTTGCTTTGAGTAGTTTCTATTAAACATTTCACCTAAATAAGTAAGTTCAAAACACTACAATTGAACTGTGTGTGTATATATATATATGAACCATTGAATTAGTTTTTGTAATGATGGACATTCTCAGAAGAAATGATTTAAATTATGATAAAAGGGTCGTCTGAAAGTGGACAAACAAGATGCAGTTCCATGAAATGAGAATGAAAAGGCTGCTTAATGTAGACGCACCTGATCTACAGGTATATTTAAAGCACTGTACGAACACATTACGAGTAATCATTGTTACAGCATAAAGACCTGTGTGAATGTCACAGCCTGAGGTCTTAGAAGAGTCGTAGCTAGGTAAAAAAATAAATACTATAATACTAACGTCACATGCTCATTTTGACATTTCAATATTTAACTTTAGTTCTCACTATTTAAACAGGTAGAGTTTGCCGTATCGATGCTGCTCCAGCTCAGTCACTACGAATCATTCAAAATCACGTGTGGATTTTTCCTCTTAGTTTGGCCTAAAATATTACCAGACAGGATTGTAATTACATTGTTTTTGAGGCATGGAACCTGCCATTTAATTTGAGATAGTTGACCCAACAATTAAAAAAAAAAAGTGTGTATATATATATATATATTTTTTTTTTATTGTCATTTATTCACCCTCATGTTATTCCAAAGCTGTTAGACTTTTTCTTTTATGCAACACTAAAGGATATCAGTGTTTACGCTGCTTTTTGAGAAAATAAATGGGGATAGACAATTTTTAAGCTCCAAAAAGGGGAAAAAAAACGCCATTAAAATAGTTCATATGACTCTGGCGTTATATTCCAAGACATACAGTTCTAAACTGAAATTTGTCATTATTAACTAACTTTAGATCTGCCCCTCTGTAGCTCTAAAATCTCATGTGCTTCATTGACATCAAACCTGCCACAACATGTCTTTATGCACGATATATGAACAAGACTCCAGAGCTTCGAGATTTTCAGTGGTTGACGTATTTTTAATGGTGTTTTGTAGCTCCTTTTCATGGGTTTCCTTTTATGGAAAAGAATGTCTGAAAAACTTGTTTCACAGAAAAATGTATTTCATAAAGGTTTGGGATGACATGAGTGCATAAATGATGACAAAAGCTAATTTTTTTTGGGTGACCTGTCCCTTGTTAAGGGATTCTGATCAAATCCCACCCCTTTCCTCTTTAGATGCTCCCTCCTAAAGCAATACAGTAATTTTCTAGTTTGTTTTACACTTAAACTACTTACACTTTTTACACTTACACACTTGTATAGTGTCATTTTGTCGGTTTTTGGGTGGTGAGGTTTGTGCAGTGGTCAAACAGCCATTGGAGTCACAATAAACCTACACTCCCGTTTTTACCCTTTTATTTGATTTTTGTTGTTTTGGGTTCGGTTTAGTTCATTATAGGGTCCATATTTTGACGTTATGCATTTTAGAAATGGCGATCGAATCTTTCGTGATTTGAGCGTTGCAAACAACCCAGGGGAGCCCACACAGCGTTTAGTTCTGGCTCATACAACCAAAATACGATCTTGGATTATTGTTTGCTGTGGATTTGGTTGCCTTGTGTTTTGCGTTTGCTTAATTAGACCTGCTGATTGGCTTTCCACAGTCTGTACGGTTCCAATGCTTTTCATTCAGCACAACGTTACTGCCTTTCATTGAGTAGTGTTAATGGGTGGGGCCTATTTAATGGTGGGCGGAGTTTATTTAATCATTTTAGGTCATGTTTTGAATTTGTTGCACTTGCAACTAGATAATATTGTTTTATTTATTTCTGTTTTATTGTAGACTAGGAATTTTGCTGTTAATTTTTCTTTCGTTGATCTTTTTTAAGTCTACTAATGTGGTTTTTTTTTTCCTTATGCAAAGTGTATGTAGATTCCAGTATACTTGGTTTGCATTTTCCTGTTTTTCCACGTAAATTGGATCCAAATCCTACTAGGTGTCCTGTGTAAATGACTGTAATACTGTAGTGGCAGGGGGAATATTGAAGATGGCGTTTTAAGACCTTTTGTGTGCAATATAAATCTGGTGTAGTGCAAGTTTCACATTACTGAAGAAAAGCGATGGGAGAGGAAATGAAAACGGCACTCAACAGTCCTCTGATATTATTTAATTTGTCATTTGTCTAACGGTTGTCTTGTTCACCGAATTTAAACTTATAAAAGCACTTTAAAATGTTACCATCTCAATTGAAAAAACGCACTTGTTGAAAACTGAAAATTTGCATCTCAAACATCGAATTTCTCAGTGATTTTTCCAATTCTTGTTATTGAGGAGCTTCTGCAGGAGGTCATGTGTTTTGAAGACTGTCAATGTTGTTGTTTTTTTGTATTTTATTTTGCATCTGCAATCTGCATTTTTAACAGTTACTGGGGAAAACACTCCGTTTAAATGCTCTAATGGAAAGATGTAATGGTGATGAAGTGATCAGATGTGTGTACAGTTGGTTCTTCAGAGTGTGTAGACTGAATTGCTGTGTATATTTCCTTCAGTTGCTTACTGTAGGCAAGTTTTCACCCCTTGACATGAAACACAAATAAAGTATAGGGTAAAATACACCCGAGTATGCTTGTTTTTGTTCATGAGAGAGTTGCATGCTAAGCTGTATTTATTTTTACTACTGTAAAAGTCCTGGAATTACCTTATAGTTGCGTTTAGTGATTGCGATGTAAGCGTTTGTCCTCATTTTGTTTCATTAAGAAAACTAATGAATATAGTGCCTTTTTGTTAGTTATTGATTCATTATTGATTCATCTTATTCAATAATATAATAAGCAATTGGATATGAGCCGCCGACATTATAAAACTATTTGTAATTGTGTGACTTTTAAACAAGTATGATATTAAGTCATGCCGTTTCATCAAGTGATTTGCCAGTCAAAATGTTTCAGGAAAGTCTGCCAGACAAACTGAGTTTGCAGATGAAAGTGATTTGTTTTTGACTGATGTTAGAACACTTGAGGAAAGTGGTATCACTTTACACTTTAATGCCAGAGAGACCACACACACACACACACACACACACACACACACACACACACACACACACACACACACACACACACACACACACACACACACACACACACACACACACACACATTAGTGACTCAGCAACAGACCCTTGCCCAATGATCTGCTCCAAGCGAAACTCTCCACACAGACACGATTACATATAAACAGCTAAGAGAGCATGCATCAAAATAACCCTCTTATAAATAGACCACCGACTATCCAAACGGGGATTTCCTTTGATACCCAGAGCACAGCAGTGATTGTGTAACTTCCAGAGAGCTGCAGACCAGACATTGAGAGAGAGGAAGGACATTTGGAAGACGACAACACCCAGAAAACTAGCAGACCATCAGAATGTCAGACGATCAGCCCTCTTCGCCCTCCAGCAGCTCCTTGTGCCCAGGCTGCCAGCGTGAAGGGTCTCTCCTGCTGCCCTGCGGACACCGTCTGTGCCAGGCTTGCCTTCAGCTGTGCCAGCAGGAGCTCGGGCAGGACCAGGCGGGCTGTACGGAGTGCTACGGTCGTGAGCTGCTGGACAGTGTGCTGAAGGGGCTGCTCGACTCGCTGTTCGAGGGGCAGCCGCGCCGGGTGGGGAACGCCAAGGAGGGCACAGAGACGGCAGAGGATGGAGATTTGTGCCGACATCACAGGGACAGACTGACTCAGTACTGTATAGAGGACGAGGAACTGATCTGTGATCAGTGTCAGGGCGAGGAACATGAAGATCACAAGTGCAGCTCCATTGAAGAGGCCACACAAGAGTGTAAGGTGAGAAACGGGTGCATAAATACATTGCTTCATCATTTGAGCTGTTGTAAGTTGATATGATGCTTGGAGGAATTATGATTCTAGAAGTGATTGACTCATTATTGGCCCATATTTGTCCAGTTTTTTTTTTTTTTTTTTTTTTTGGTCAATAGCCATGAATGCATTTAGTAATGATATAGACCTGACTGATAAATCAGCCAATATTTTGCCATTTTGAGGTTTCAAGCATGCAGTTCGATGTAATCTCAAATTATTGTACCATGTCCAGTTGTGTTCATAAGTTTATGACAGCCTTGTTAATATTATAAATATATATATGTTGAAACTTAGAGAAATATTTTAATATTAAACATTTGTATAATTTTGTAGTGAATTTTAAGTAAATATTGTGTGAAATAAGTGTTTTCTTTACAATTTAATGTAGACATACATGTCATTTCCTATATTATTTAACCCTGCCAATGAGGACTAGATAATACACTCGTAAAAGAATGACTTAGAACTTTTTTAATCATTGGAGTTCAGGCACTACATTGTAGGTTTGAATCCGGTAAACTTCTTCTTCTGTTATATCAAAATGCGTGTTCATTTTGCATGCAAAATAGTTTCAGATGAACTGCAAGAACTGACAATAATTCATTTTCTTTACAGAAGGAGTTGAGAGCAGCTCTTAGACCTCTTCAGGAGAAACTGGAGACATTAAACACAGCCAAGCAAACCTGCCAGGAAACTTCAGAACACATCAGGGTAACAAATAATCAATGCAAGCCAAGTTTAACAGGATGTTCAGGCTGTTTGGGGGCTTATGAATGTTATACCAGAGGTAGAACTTTAGTTCCACTGGGGGAAAGAGAAAATAAGCATGGCGAGATATTTACTACAGTGCATAGTTATTTAAATCTCACTTACAAAGTTTTTACACATTTTGCACAAACCTCAGTAAATACAAACGGCAATATTTTCTAAAAGTCTCTCCACCCTCCGCACAGAGACAGACACAAAACACAGTGCGTCTGATAAAGGAGAACTTTGAAAAGCTTCATCAGTTCCTGCAAGATGAGGAGATCTCCATGCTGAGAGCTCTGAGTGAGGAAGAGGAGCAGAAGAGCCAGAAGATGAAGGACAAGATGGACAGACTAACGGATGAGATAATGACATTAAGAGAAGCCATTAGTTCATCAGAAGAGGCCATGAGCGCTGATGATATGGCATTCTTGAAGGTAGGGAAAATATCAAGAATATTTTCTTTTTTTAATAGTTTTGATAAAAAGAAACATAAAATTCCTTTTGGTAAAAATGTACAAATTGCATGCATTAACTAGAGAAAAAGCATATTTTCTGAAAACTCTGATCTTTCTGTTACAGAACTACAAGAAGACATCAGAACGGTAATTGTATGGAAGCATATATTTGTGTTACACAGTGTAAATTAAGGGTGATTCATCAGTATTGCAAAATAAGCCCAGGCAGGATGATCAGTTTAGCAGCCTGCTTGTTACAAGACTGCTTACTAAATAAAAGCAAATCAACATGAAATATGCATTTGAGTTTGATGAATAAGGCTCCATGTCAATTTGAGATGAACGTCACAGTTACTTTGATGAAGCTTCTCTCGCTTTCTGTCACAGGATGGACTGCACTGTGCCGGATCCAGGGGAAATCTCAGGAACTTTAATTGATGTGGCCAAACACGTCGGCTCACTCACGTTCAGAGTGTGGGAGAAGATGCAGAGCGATCTCACATACAGTAAGAGCAAACAGACCAAATCTGTCATTGATTTAAAAAAATAAATGAATAAAAATTAAATAAATAAAAAACTCCATAGTCAAGTTTCTAAGTTTCTATTTAGATATTACAAGCATATATCAACTCGTTTTCAACACTTTTTGAAATCTCTGTTCTTCCTGTTACAGGACTACAAGAAGTCATCAGACTTGTTTAAATCTTTACTCACTCTTTAGGGGTTGGTAAATCTGTATATTATTATATGAAATAAAATAAAAATAATAAACTCAAAGTCAGATTTCTTTGGTTAAATATTTAGCTATTTCTGTTACAGAACTACAAGAAGTCATCAGAACAGTCTTTACTCTTTAGGGGGCAGGTAAATCTGTAATTTATTATACAAAATAAGATAAAAGTCAAATTTCTTTGGTTAAATATTTAGATTTTTAAGCAAATCAACTTGGTTACATCTTTACTCACTCTATAGGGGTGGGTAAATATGTAATTTATTATATAAAATACAGTATAATAAAGAAAAAAAAATGATCTAGTTAATTATTTAGATCTTTCTGTTACAGAACTACAAGAAGTCATCAGCCTTTACTCACTCTTTAGGGTTGTCTTATTTATAAGATAAAATAAAAAATAATGATCTCAAAGTCAAAATATTTAGATCTTTTTGTTACAGAACTACAAGAAATCATCAGAACAGTACTCGTTAGGGGCAGGCAAATATGTAATATATGAAACAAAATAAAATAAAAGTCACATTTCTTTGGTTAAATATTGAGTTTAAGCAAATCAACTTGGTTACAGGACTACAAGAAGTCATCAGACTTGTTTAAATCTTTACTCACTCTTTCGGGGTTGGTAAGTCTGTATATTATTATATAAAATAAAAATAATAAACTCAAAGTCAGATTTCTTTGGTTAAATATTTAGCTATTTCTGTTACAGAACTACAAGAAGTCATCAGAACAGTCTTTACTCTTTAGGGGGCAGGTAAATCTGTAATTTATTATACAAAATAAGATAAAAGTCAAATTTCTTTGGTTAAATATTTAGATTTTTAAGCAAATCAACTTGGTTACATCTTTACTCACTCTATAGGGGTGGGTAAATATGTAATTTATTATATAAAATACAGTATAATAAAGAAAAAAAAATGATCTAGTTAATTATTTAGATCTTTCTGTTACAGAACTACAAGAAGTCATCAGCCTTTACTCACTCTTTAGGGTTGTCTTATTTATAAGATAAAATAAAAAATGATGATCTCAAAGTCAAAATATTTAGATCTTTTTGTTACAGAACTACAAGAAATCATCAGAACAGTACTCGTTAGGGGCAGGCAAATATGTAATATATGAAACAAAATAAAATAAAAGTCACATTTCTTTGGTTAAATATTGAGTTTTTTAAGCAAATCAACTTGGTTACAGTACTACAAGAAGTCATCAGACTTGTTTAAATCTTTACTCACTCTTTCGGGGTTGGTAAGTCTGTATATTATTATATAAAATAAAAATAATAAACTCAAAGTCAGATTTCTTTGGTTAAATATTTAGCTATTTCTGTTACAGAACTACAAGAAGTCATCAGAACAGTCTTTACTCTTTAGGGGGCAGGTAAATCTGTAATTTATTATACAAAATAAGATAAAAGTCAAATTTCTTTGGTTAAATATTTAGATTTTTAAGCAAATCAACTTGGTTACATCTTTACTCACTCTATAGGGGTGGGTAAATATGTAATTTATTATATAAAATACAGTATAATAAAGAAAAAAAATGATCTAGTTAATTATTTAGATCTTTCTGTTACAGAACTACAAGAAGTCATCAGCCTTTACTCACTCTTTAGGGTTGTCTTATTTATAAGATAAAATAAAAAATAATGATCTCAAAGTCAAAATATTTAGATCTTTCTGTTACAGAACTACAAGAAGTCATCAGAACAGTACTCGTTAGGGGCAGGCAAATATGTAATATATGAAATAAAATGTCAAATTTATTTGGTTAAATATTTAGAAATTACAAGCATATCAACTTGATTACAGAACTACAAGAAGGGGGTAAAGAGTGAGTAAATCTGATTTAATATAGTATATATATACTGCATATATTTGATATAAAATAAAATAAATGTCTCCCTTAAAAAAAAAATTAACTGAGATTTTGTTTTAACCAGTAGTACTGCTTATTTCACAAACTCAAAAAATAACAGAGAAATTACATTTTTGTTTATGAATATCTAGTTTAATCACAACTAAACTCTGAATACATCTCAAACCTTCAGCTCCCGTGATTCTTGATCCCAACACCGCAGACATCTGCGTCATTCTGTCAGACGACCTGACCACCATCCGCTACAGCGAAGAAGACCAACAGGTCCCGGACAACCCTGAACGCTTCTGCTTCTACGAGTGTGTCCTGGGCTCGGAGGGTTTCAGCTCTGGTCGCCACAGCTGGGACGTGGAGGTGGGAGACTGCAGCGAATGGGCACTGGGAGTGGTGAAAGAGAGCGTGCAGCGGAAAGAGTGGTTTCCCCCGAGCCCTGACCGTGGCATGTGGATCATCTGCCTGTACGGAGGAGAGTATCGCGCGCGGACGGCCACCAACACTCCTCTGACGCTCAAGAAGAAACCTCAGAAGATACGAGTTCAGCTCGACTGGGAGGGTGGCAGAGTGATGTTCTCGGATGTCAGTGACAACTCGCTGCTGTACAAGTATAAGCACAAGTTTACGGAAAAGATGTTCCCGTATTTCTCCAATACATGTAAAAGACGTCCACTGCATATTTTAGCAGAGAAGGTGTCTGTGTACACGGAATAACTCAAGACACTCATCATTATGAGGACTATACACTACCGATCAAAAGTTCTAGATCGGTACGATTTTTCTATGTTTTTGAATAATGCTCTTATGCTCACCAAGGTTTGATCCAAAATACAGCAAAAACAGTTATATTGTGAAATATTTTTAAAATTTAAAATAGCTGTTTTCTATTTGAATATTCTAATCTATCTATAAATTACAAGAATGTCTGTCTGTCCCTCTGTCTGTCTGTTAATCGCATATCTCTCGAACCGTTAGTCTGAAGGATTTCAAACTTGACAGGTGTCTTGCTACGGGCACGAGTAAGTGCAGTGCCGAGTTTGACGTTGTTTGGATTAGAAATGCAAAAGATATTGTTAAATATATCGGTAAAAGAAGCACACATTGAAGTTGTGGTTTAAAAATAAACATTGTCAGCTAAACATTAAGTCAGCAACACTGTTTACTTCTGAATATTGTAGTTATTCAGAAGTAGTTAGTTGTCAGTAGTTGGTTATATATGTAGTTCAATTTTCCATATTTATTGTATGTCATTATGTCAGTATCAGACGTATTTGCTTTCAACCATGCACAAATAAAAATGTCACTGAACTTTTGCTGTGTAATTGTTACAATGAGCACTCAAACACACCAAACCAACAATTACTAAAAAAACACACAAAAACTGATTTTAAACGGGCATACCTGTTATTTGCATATCTCTCGAACCGTTAGTCCGATGGATTTCAAACTTGACAGGTGTCTTGCTACGGGCAAGAGTAAGTGCAGTGCCGAGTTTGACGTTGTTTGGATTAGAAATGCAAAATATATCGTTAAATATATTGGTAAAAGAAGCACACTGGCTTTTGCTGCTCTAGCCGCTAGCCACTCCAGCGCACACTGAGTGGCCACTCCCCCTCTCGCACTGCACACTGAGTGGCCACTCCCCCTCCACACTGCACACTGAGTGGCCACTCCCCCTCTCACACTGCACACTGAGTGGCCACTCCCCCTCTCGCACTGCACACTGAGTGGCCACTCCCCCTCCACACTGCACACTGAGTGGCCACTCCCCCTCTCACACTGCACACTGAGTGGCCACTCCCCCTCCACGCTGCACACTGAGTGGCCATTCCCCCTCTCACACTGCACACCGAGTGGCCACTCCCCCTCCACGCTGCACACTGAGTGGCCATTCCCCCTCTCACACTGCACACCGAGTGGCCACTCCCCCTCCACGCTGCACACTGAGTGGCCATTCCCCCTCTCACACTGCACACCGAGTGGCCACTCCCCCTCCACACTGCACACTGAGTGGCCACTCCCCCTCCACACTGCACACTGAGTGGCCACTCCCCCTCTCACACTGCACACTGAGTGGCCACTCCCCCTCCACGCTGCACACTGAGTGGCCATTCCCCCTCTCACACTGCACACCGAGTGGCCACTCCCCCTCCACGCTGCACACTGAGTGGCCACTCCCCCTCCACACTGCACACTGAGTGGCCACTCCCCCTCCACACTTCTCACTGAGTGGCCACTCCCCCTCTCACACTGCACACTGAGTGGCCACTCCCCCTCTCGCACTGCACACTGAGTGGCCACTCCCCCTCTCACACTGCACACTGAGTGGCCACTCCCCCTCCACACTGCACACTGAGTGGCCACTCCCCCTCTCACACTGCACACTGTGTGGCCACTCCCCCTCTCACACTGCACACTGAGTGGCCACTCCCCTCCACACTGCACACTGAGTGGCCACTCCCCCTCTCACACTGCACACTGAGTGGCCACTCCCCCTCCACACTGCACACTAAGTGGCCACTCCCCCCTCACACTGCACACTGAGTGGCCACTCCCCCTCCACACTGCACACTGAGTGGCCACTCCCCCTCTCACACTGCACACTGTGTGGCCACTCCCCCTCTCACACTGCACACTATGTGGCCACTCCCCCTCTCGCACTGCACACTGAGTGGCCACTCCCCCTCCACACTGCAAACTGAGTGGCCACTCCCCCTCTCACACTGCACACTGAGTGGCCACTCCCCCTCCACACTGCACACTGAGTGGTCACTCCCCCTCCACACTGCACACTGTGTGGCCACTCCCCCTCTCACACTGCACACTGAGTGGCCACTCCCCCTCTCACACTGCACACTGAGTGGCCACTCCCCCTCTCACACTGCACACTGAGTGGCCACTCCCCCTCCACACTGCACACTGAGTGGCCACTCCCCCTCTCACACTGCACACTGAGTGGCCACTCCCCCTCTCGCACTGCACACTGAGTGGCCACTCCCCCTCTCACACTGCACACTGCGTGGCCACTCCCCCTCCACACTGCACACTGAGTGGCCACTCCCCCTCTCACACTGCACACTGAGTGGCCACTCCCCCTCTCACACTGCACACTGAGTGGCCACTCCCCCTCCACACTGCACACTGAGTGGCCACTCCCCCTCTCACACTGCACACTGTGTGGCCACTCCCCCTCTCACACTGCACACTGAGTGGCCACTCCCCCTCTCGCACTGCACACTGAGTGGCCACTCCCCCTCTCACACTGCACACTGCGTGGCCACTCCCCCTCCACACTGCACACTGAGTGGCCACTCCCCCTCTCACACTGCACACTGAGTGGCCACTCCCCCTCTCACACTGCACACTGAGTGGCCACTCCCCCTCCACACTGCACACTGAGTGGCCACTCCCCCTCTCACACTGCACACTGTGTGGCCACTCCCCCTCTCACACTGCACACTGAGTGGCCACTCCCCCTCTCGCACTGCACACTGTGTGGCCACTCCCCCTCTCACACTGCACACTGTGTGGCCACTCCCCCTCTCACACTGCACACTGAGTGGCCACTCCCCTCCACACTGCACACTGAGTGGCCACTCCCCCTCTCACACTGCACACTGAGTGGCCACTCCCCCTCCACACTGCACACTAAGTGGCCACTCCCCCCTCACACTGCACACTGAGTGGCCACTCCCCCTCCACACTGCACACTGAGTGGCCACTCCCCCTCTCACACTGCACACTGTGTGGCCACTCCCCCTCTCACACTGCACACTATGTGGCCACTCCCCCTCTCGCACTGCACACTGAGTGGCCACTCCCCCTCCACACTGCAAACTGAGTGGCCACTCCCCCTCTCACACTGCACACTGAGTGGCCACTCCCCCTCCACACTGCACACTGAGTGGTCACTCCCCCTCCACACTGCACACTGTGTGGCCACTCCCCCTCTCACACTGCACACTGAGTGGCCACTCCCCCTCTCACACTGCACACTGAGTGGCCACTCCCCCTCTCACACTGCACACTGAGTGGCCACTCCCCCTCCACACTGCACACTGAGTGGCCACTCCCCCTCTCACACTGCACACTGAGTGGCCACTCCCCCTCTCGCACTGCACACTGAGTGGCCACTCCCCCTCTCACACTGCACACTGCGTGGCCACTCCCCCTCCACACTGCACACTGAGTGGCCACTCCCCCTCTCACACTGCACACTGAGTGGCCACTCCCCCTCTCACACTGCACACTGAGTGGCCACTCCCCCTCCACACTGCACACTGAGTGGCCACTCCCCCTCTCACACTGCACACTGTGTGGCCACTCCCCCTCTCACACTGCACACTGAGTGGCCACTCCCCCTCTCACACTGCACACTGTGTGGCCACTCCCCCTCTCACACTGCACACTGAGTGGCCACTCCCCCTCTCACACTGCACACTGTGTGGCCACTCCCCCTCTCACACTGCACACTGTGTGGCCACTCCCTCTCTCACACTGCACACTGAGTGGCCACTCCCCCTCTCGCACTGCACACTGAGTGGCCACTCCCCCTCCACACTGCACACTGAGTGGCCACTCCCCCTCTCACACTGCACACTGAGTGGCCACTCCCCCTCTCACACTGCACACTGAGTGGCCACTCCCCCTCCACACTGCACACTGAGTGGTCACTCCCCCTCCACACTGCACACTGTGTGGCCACTCCCCCTCTCACAATGCACACTCTGTGGCCACTCCCCCTCTCACACTGCACACTGTGTGGCCACTCCCCCTCTCACACTGCACACTGTGTGGCCACTCCCCCTCTCACACTGCACACTGAGTGGCCACTCCCCTCCACACTGCACACTGAGTGGCCACTCCCCCTCTCACACTGCACACTGAGTGGCCACTCCCCCTCTCACACTGCACACTGTGTGGCCACTCCCCCTCTCGCACTGCACACTGAGTGGCCACTCCCCCTCTCGCACTGCACACTGAGTGGCCACTCCCCCTCCACACTGCACACTCATAGTGCAGTGTCAGAGGGGATATACATTTATACATTTACATTTATATAATGTACATTTATTACAAAGTAATTATACCTTTATTACAGTATTATTATACATTTATTACAATGTAATTATATGTTTCTTACAAAGTAATTATACATTTATTACAATGTAACAGAGATGGGTACTCAAGTTTGAGACTCAGACTCGAGTGCGACTTAAGTCGCACGCACAGTGACTTCAGACTCGACTTGAGACTCGTCCTCGAAAGACTTCAGACTCGACTCGGACTCGAGCTGCGGGACTCGTGAACAATGTTTAAATTTTTAGGAAACGTCTGATGAGCTGTTATCCCCCTCCCTCCGTTACCTATAACCTGCCTACGTAACACGTACTCCATTTAGCTGGCAGCGCGCGCGCGACCACACATGAGAGGATAACAAACAAAAATGTTCATTTTCGTAATATTCTCATTTTCCTCTATATCTCATCAGCAATTTCGATGTCGGCAGCTCTGCAGCAGCTGAGCACTAAGAGCGAATGTACAGTGACGTGACATCACTGCCAGATTCAAACTGCGTGCTTTCGCTCTATGGCTGGCGCTGAGCCAAAGACGGACGCGCTCAGCGCTTGTCATAGGCTATATCACAACTATTCAGTGTTTTTAACCACATAATGTTTATTTTAGGTTTCAGACATTTAAATACATATAATTTATAGCAAAACAATACATTTATAGTTTGTAAAATACACGAATGGTGTCTATGGAAGCAGCAATAAGAATAACGGCTAAACGGCTAAACATCGTGATGTCTGTCAGCCATTTCAGCTGAAAATATAAATGAGCGTTTGTTTAATTGCCAAACTTGTGGTGGTCGATTAACGTAACGTTAATCATTTACGTGCTGCTGGCTGCCCGTTGTCTACAAACAGGTCACAGGATTATTGTTGATCATGTAACGTTACAGTTTCATTTAGTTATAACGTTACACTGGTTTGAGAGTCTGGGATGTGTTGACTTACAGTAGCTCAAAGACTTGACTTGGACTCTAGCTCAGAGACTTGTGAGCATCTCTGCAATGTAATTATACATTTATTAAAATGTAATTATACATTTATTACAGTGTTATTATACATTACAGTGTTATTATACATTTAATAGTGTTATTATACGTTTATTACAATGTAATTATGCATTTATTACAGTGTTATTATACATTTAATAGTGTTATT